CGTAACAAAAAACAAACTGCATGAAGCAACATTTTCAACACATTTTCTGCATTTCAGTGAGTTTTTGTGTAGATCCTTAAAATCACCATCACACTTCCACCAGCAGATGGACTGTGTCAGATGTTTGGAACATTACACATTTCAAATGATTAATCTAGTAGTTGATTCACAAAGAAATGATTCTGTACAGCTATTTGAATAATTGATTGATTGTTTGACGTATTGTATTTGCTGGTTTCAGCTCCCTCAGTGTGAGGATTTGCTGCTATCATGTCATTATGTCACTTTTGGTTCTCAGAAATCTGAGAATTTTTCACAATCTCTAACATTTTACATCAATTAATTGAGAAAATAATCAACAGATGATCATTAGATGCAACATATTTTGTTTAATTGAGCATGTATAAGTTTCCATTTAGATGATTTATAATAACTGTTTTTCACAAATTCCTGCTGAAGTAACTGTTTACTTCATGTATGAGGTGCTTCGGCATATTATGTTTACATATTTATGTTTTTTTAGGCTACCGTGGCACCTAAACACCAGCCCAGCAGCTTCACGCCGTTTGAGGAAGTCGCACTCGGCTGTTGAACTCAGGAGGCGCTCTGGGCAGTCAGACTCTTCAGACGAAGATGAAGCTGCCAGTAACGAGGTTGAGAAAGGCCTGCTGTTTTCTCCTAAAGAACACATCAAGAACATGTGGCAGGATTTTAAGCTGTCCCCTCATAATCGCCACCTGATGTCCTCCTCACTGCACAGCCTGCCGGGAGACCAGAAGACACCACAGCAGGGAAAAGGAAAGAAGAGGCAGGAGAATAAAGATGGAGAGCAGGAGCATTGGAAACACAGAGTGACCGTCCCGAAACCTTTCCAGATGATGCTGCGTGAGGCTGAGAGGCGAAAGCGTGGCATAAAGACGCGTTCAGAGATGGAACTGGAGAACGCAGAGCTGCGGCGGCAGCTAGAAGAACTGACAGAGTGCCAGAGGAAGTTCCGTGCGAGCCCCGTACCGGCTCACATTCACCTCCCGCTTTATGAAGAGCTGCAGGAGCGGAACAAGGAACGACGGAGATCAACAAGAGAACGAGAAGATCAGCATCTTCAAACCATCCAGAAGCCCTTCAGCTTCCTGGAGAGGGAGCGACTGAAGAAGGAGCAGAAACAGCTGCTTCACCCACAGTCATCCGACCAGGAGAGAGTCAAACCCTTCAAGGCCAAGCCTGTGCCCAAGGCAGTGTACGCAGCAGCATCCGGGGAGCAGATGAAGGAGGAGCAGCTCTATCGGTCTATCAAGATACAGATGAGAGCCGAGGAGATGCTCCACAGTGCTTCAATGCCTGCCAGTATGCTCGCACGACGACTCAGCGAGCGCAAGAAGACTACAGACAGCAGCTCCGCAGCGGGAGGGGACAACAACTTCTCCCACAGGCCCCTCATTAACAAAGAGGTACCTGACTTCAATGCCAGTTACCGCCGCTTCCAGAAACACCTGGAGAAACAAAAAGAGGTGAAGCCCACGACCACATGCGAACCCTTTGAATTGAGGACGTCACAGATCTCTTCGCACCGTGAACGCATCCTGGCCGACATCGAGAAGGAGCAGAGCAGCCCTCGGATGCTGCGCTGGCCGTGCATCGGCCCCAGGACATCTCGGACGGCAAACTCAAGTCTCTGTTCGTCCCTGTCTGGAAGCCTGGAGCTCCTGCCTGCCAAAGTCACAGATGCCACCAAAAAGCGCCACGAGGCCGTGAGGTACCGCTTTAGGACTCCAAAGGCTTCCACCATTATAGCTGAGATCAAATGTCCTGTTTAGACTTGAACTTCTTTTCCCAACATCCCTACAGTGCACTTACAACCCCACACCCGCTCCCAAACAGTCTTTACACCGCATAGACAATTGTTGCACCCATATCCTCAAGTATCTGCCCCCATCCTCCCGAAGTCCCCATCCCATCCAGACCTTCCTGCACCTGTGACCACATCTGTCTCCCTGAGTAGAAAGGCGCTGGAGCAGAAGAAGAAGGCTGAGGAGGAAGAGGAGCGGTGGAAGGAAAAGCAGAAGCAGAGGGAGAAGAAGCTGCAGAGGGTGGTGGTGAAACGTGCCCAGGCCAACGACCCCCACCTGGCTCTCTCACAAACACACCAGACCAAACTCAAAGAATTCAGGTACCCTAAAAACAACGTGACTACAGCATGAGCTGGACTGTTGTTGATTCGAATAGGCCGATCCCTAATTTTGTTTTCTCTGCAGGAAACAAGAGCTTCAGCGCAGGAAGGAGTACCGGCAGGAGATTAAAGAGATGCAGCAGAGAGTGAAGGGGAGGCCGCTGCTGCTGGAGCAGGTTGCACAGGTGAACATCATCCGGAGCCTTAAATCATAATACTCAGGTGTCAATGTGATCACCCCCATGACACTCTGCTGTCACCCAATACAGATTTCCAGATCCTCTAATTTAAAGGCACAAACACGTATAATTACAGCAGAATGTGGCTTTAAAATTAAAGACTGCATCTTCTAGACTCTCACATGGACATTCTCTTCAGTGACTCTCACATCAGTCACTGAAGAGAATCAAAGATCAACATCTACTGTACATCCCCAGGAGCAGTGAATATATCGGAATGCAGTCCAACCATAAGTTGAAGTTGGCTTTGAATCATAGGCTGGTAGCTGGGAAACTACAAACGTAATGAACTACACCTTCAGAGTGCAGCATTTTATTACATGCACACGTGTGAATATCACAGACTGATGAAATCCAACAGTGTAAGAGTATCTGAGCATGATGTCATTGGCTTACACTAACCTTCTGACGGTGCCTTTAACAGAGGAATGCCAAACAGGCAGCGGAGAAGCGCTACACAGACGCCCTGCATGGATGTGATCTGACTGAAGAGTTCATCAGCAACAAGGCCAAATCCACATCTGCACGCGAAGCCTCCCCGTCCAGTGACAGCAAACGGAGGTAAATCTGTGATGTCACTGTAGTGAAAACTGCACACTTCGAAAAAATAAGTTCTATAATGTTTTAAGCCAAGTCAAAAATATTCCAAGTATATACACACTAAAGAGGCTACTGTAGAAACATGGCGGCGCAGCATGGCAACTTCCATGTAAGAGGACCTGCAGTGTATGTAGATAGAAACGACTCATTCATTATATAAAGTCTTTATACACCACTGAAACCATGGTTATGGATATTATATTGCATTTCTGTCAATAGATCCTCCTAAATATGACACACTGGAAGAGTACAGCCATATTTAAGGCCTAATGGTACAAGTGACTGTCTTATCAGAAGCTGATTGTGTTCTTCTGTTTGTTAGTGATCAAGAGGAGCCAGACATGGGATATAAACCTGTTCAGTACAGAAAGGTCTTCCTGGACGATGAAGACGTGGACGTAGATCCAGACGAAAGTGAAGGAGGGAGGGAGGAAGAGGCGAGTAACAAGTCTTCGTTAAACCACTGTGCTAGAGAGGACGCCGACGGTCGCCTCTCAGATCAGGATTATCATAGAGATGATCGCCACTCTTCAGATGAAAGTTACCACTACTCAGACGACCATGAGAATTATTCAGACGACAGCGAGCTTGATGCTGACGCTGGACAGCAGGACGCAGGGGAGTGATGTCATCAAACATTAAGACCAATGTGGCCGGCGCCATTGCTATGTTCAAAAACTCTGAAAGCCACCAAACTGAACACATCAAGTGAGCACGGAGGAACACTGGAGAGGAAACTTCTTGTTCCTATAATGATAAGATGTTATGTTTTACTGTAAATATGTAGCACATAAGAATGGGAAATTTTATATCTTTAACCTGAGGTGACAAGCTTGATCCTGTTCACTGCAAACACAGGGAGTATACTTTGAATAATCATCATTCTGCATCATTAGTCACAAGTAATTTTACATAAATGTAACAGTAATGCATTGTGGGATTTCTAGAAAAATGCATCCATCTGCATATAGTGTGCATGCTCTCTGGCTCAAATACACTTCATTTCAGTGGTTCTCAAAGTGGGACCTGGGGACCCCCAGGGGTCCTTTAGGGGGTTCCAAGAGGTCCCCAGCAAAAACTGGAATCATTTATTTTCATTGTGATTCTATCGATAATTAACACAATGGCAGAATGTATGGTGGCTATTTTGGTCATCGGTTTCATGCACTTTCTGGGACAAATTCTTTTCAGATGGGTCCATTTAGGGTTCCTTGACATGAAAAAGTTTGAGAACCACTGCTTTATTTCATGGCCTTTCCAGCATGAACACAGCACATATTAAAAATCTGCTTAGAATTGCCGCAGGACTAAATTAATAATAATGGCTCTGTAATGTTTATGGCTTTGGATAAAATACTATCAAATGACAAACAATATCTTTTGTTTTATTTACATTTACAACAACATACAAGCATGAAATACAGCAAATACAACTGACAATACATAATAAAAGCAGCAACAAATACTAGTAAGTGCTAACGGCACATATTGCATCAGTGGGGTAAATACACAGGGAAAGAAGTTAGGGTTAACAAAAAGTGCAATCAATACAAGATAACTGTAGGGGATAGAAGAAGAGCACAGGAAGTGCATGTTAGAGGTTTTATAAGAGGAAGTCTTCTTAGAAGAGATGGGTTTTCAAGACCTTGTTGAAGTTAGAGAGGGACGCCCCTGCTCTGTTTTATGAGACATACTATGCCACACTGGAGCATCCACAATAAAGCCACTTGTTCAAAAACGACAACTCATTTGATTTTGTTATGAATTTAAGCTTTTTGTTATTGGTTAGGGCCTGAGTGATGATCAGAGGTCAAACTGGAGCAGACACAGAGGGAGGGCAGTCGATCCAGATTGACAGCTCCACCCAGCCTATGACACGGCAATGACGACAGCGCCAGCACAGCCAATCAGTTGCCGAGTGGGCGGGTACATAGTCCAAATTTTACGCGGCGCGCCACGGGCCGAAACACCGAGAATGAATATCCCGGTCTCAACCGGTTTCAACCGGTCCGTGGTTGGAAGCATGAGCTTAGAGGAAGAGCACACTTGCACGCATTAAAACACCTCTGCTCTCCAACAGTGTGTGCGAGTATAGAGACAGAAATAAAAAACTATTTAACTTCGTGATTATGACCTGGAATACCGCTCGAAGTTTTGACTCCGTGAATCTGTGTTGTTAGCTTAGCTTACATTAGCCAGCAGACCCGAACCATCATAGACTTTTCCATTAGCACGCTAAGTTGCTACAGTAGCTTGGTGGGAGTCGGCTGTTTAAGCACTGACAGAGCAAAGAAAACAAATGTTTCAGGCTGGTTGAAGACAGGAAACAATGAGGCTGTGGTAAACTGCGGGAACGCTTTTAATACATCGCCAAGAATCCAGCGTTAACGGTGTTATTTTTAAATTAGCGCTCTTGGTGTCATCCAGGAAAGCTAACATTAGCATTTTGGCTACATCGAAGGTTAGGGGCATTGTAACGTGTGCCATGAGATAACGTTGCACATTTGTTTTCAACTGCACTGAAAGGATTTTATAATTCGCTCTTCCGACTACAAGTCGCACCAGTGAACAACTTTGTTTTTCGACGAGCGGCCAGAACACACCAGGTATGTTAACGTTAAGCCCAATCAGCATTTAACCTAACTTACCCGTCTTGAGCTAACGTTAGCACCCGTTAGTTTCAAAAGTAGTGTGGTGTTTTTGTCTTGAGGGTTAACTAGCGGTTGCACAAACCAAACATTGTGTAACGGACTGTACGTGTTTACCACTATGGCTAACACGTTTTAATTGGTTTCACTAGTCGTGCAACTGGACCAAGTTAAATATTGAGGTCGCATTGTAGTGAATGCTGCTCTGAACCCAGGTGGTGGCGTTGTTTCCTCTTTTTACAAGTTTTATGAATTTTTTCAATGGGTGTCAAAATTATTGGACCACGCGGGCTGGTTGCTTCATGGTGGCTGCTTTGACACATTTTGGCTGAACAAGTATAACTTGTTTCTTGATTACCTGCTGCAAAATGTGAAAGGAAAACTAGCCAATTCACACTTCAGTTTTGGCTCCAAAAATTAAAGCATCCATTGAAGTCATGTTTCATTCCCCCAGTTTGTAATATCTTATCTTAAATAGTAGTAAAATATGTAAGAAACACTCTTGTAATCTCTACCTGTATATGTGTGTGTTTTTAAACGTTTCAATTAGGGTTGGACAATATGACCAAAAATGTTATCACGCTAAAATTTGTGGTTTCAAACTTTTCTTTATGGTCAGAAAAACACTAAACAGTGGATCACATCACAAATCTGAGATGGAACATTCAAAACAAAAGTGCTGCTTTTGCCTCTTCTCAGAAGCTCTATGCCAGCAGAAATGACGATGTTGGCCGATCACCCAGCCAGACAGCTGCTGGACTTCAACCAGAAACTGGACATAAACCTGTTGGACAATGTTGTCAACTCGATGTACCACGACATTGGATCGCAGGTGAGGACTGCTCATCTCCTCTGTGGGCTTCCACTGGATGGGATTCACACGTAGTCTGCGCAGAACAAGTTATTAACAAGTTCCTCATGTGTTAAATGTATATTTGTTCGGTAACAATAAATGAAGTATGTAATTTTATCTAGCCTTGCTGTTAGGGGAGGTCAGTCTGACCATGATGCATAAACTTGTGAAATATACCTGAAGTTGTTCTTTAAAAACCTAAAGATTCATGGCCTGTAAATTTTTTATTTTCTGTGTTGCTCTCTTTTTTTTTTTTTTTTTTTTTTTTTTAGCAACGGGTGGCCCAGGAAGTTCTCACCAACCTGAAGGATCATCCAGACGCCTGGACGAGGGTTGACACCATCCTGGAGTTCTCTCAGAACATGAAAACTAAAGTATGTAGCTGACTCATGATGATCTAGTAGCAGAGAAAATGAATGAACTCTATGAACTCACACCGGCTGCTTGTTGACAGTCTCTCAGGGCCAATGTAATAATGTGAGCTGATGTTTATCAGTTTATCCACATCAGGCCAAGATTTTCAGGACAGTGCTGTTTGAGCATTCACTCTGCTTTAGCACCACTGTCTTTATTGTTTTTTTTCCTCCAGTTAATGGAACCTTCTTGTGTCTAATCTGTGCTATACCTCGATTTTGGGTCACGGCTCGTAAAGAAATAGAATTTGTATCCTTTATTTTGAAAAATATAAACACTCACCAGTGACTCAATGGCCATAACTCTTACTGTAACAGTTAATGCACTCAAACTGTCATATTGTCAATGAGAAAAGGATAATTACACAAGTATAAATAATACTGTATCGTAAGACTCTGACCTGTTGATAGCCGCTCGCACTTGTTTATACAGGCCAGACACAACGGACTGTCTAAAATGCACACGTGAAGGGAGCGCGCGCTTTGACCATTATCTTATATTCTGTATTCTGCATGACCAAGTGTGGTCACACATCTGATGCAATAAACACCCATATAGTATTAGTTATTGCTTTGATGCAGTCTGAATCTGAAACGAGAGGCTTCCTGAAGGCTGTGGGGAGGAGGATCACAAATCATTTTAATTTACAGAAAAATTGAAGCGACATGAATAGTTCTGTTTGTACTATATTGAGTATCTGCGTGCACATACTTGCCAACAAATTTTTCGTTGTGTATGGTCCATGCTTGTAGTCCTTGTGTCATACATTTTGGGCATGTATGACATCACCAGTGAGACTTGACAAAATATCATACAGCAGTTAGCCTTGTTTATTGGTAATTAGCTCTTGATGAAAACGGTATATCAGTCCCTTTTCAGAGCTCTAATATGTCTCTATTTTCCTCTCAGTATTATGCACTGCAGATTCTGGAGACGGTCATCAAAACACGCTGGAAGATTCTCCCTAGAAATCAGTGTGAAGGTCAGTTTCATGATATTAAATTAAAAGATTATAAAGATGTTTTCTGTCTTGTTGCTTGTCAGTGAAATGCTCTTTGGATTTTCCATTAAAACACTAATAACAATGCGTATATTTTCAGGCATCAAGAAATACGTTGTTGGGTTGATCATCAAGACTTCTTCTGATCCTGCAAACATGGAGGTGAGGTTACACTAATGTATGGTTATGATGTTGAACCTTGTGCTGCTTGATACTGTGGTCACTCTTTGTATGTTCTTTTGCAGAAAGAGGGAGTTTACATTTCAAAACTCAACATGATCCTCGTACAGGTAAATACACATTTGATATTTTAAAGAATGGCTTAATCTGGCACAGTTACATGATGGACTCAAGTGCAACTCAACTTCTCTGAACTGCTTTAGATCCTGAAGCAGGAATGGCCCAAACACTGGCCCACGTTCATCAGCGATATTGTGGGAGCAAGTCGGACCAGCGAGAGCCTCTGTCAGAACAACATGATCATCCTGAAACTGCTCAGCGAGGAGGTTTTTGATTTCTCCAGTGGCCAGATGACCCAAGTGAAGGCCAAACACCTCAAAGACAGGTAACTAGCAAAAGTTCATGTCCTGTGACTTATGTGAAGTGAAGAGTTGTTGGGACATTTTAGTTATTGCTTGTTAGTTGTCTGTTCTGTCCTCTACTCCTGCAGGAAAAAAAGACTAAATGGAAATCCAGATATCAGAATCAGAAGGAGCTTTATTGCCAAGTAGTGTTTTTACACATACGAGGAATTTGCTGTGGTGATAAGGTGCTACACGCAGACAAACATACAGTCAACATAAATAAATGTAGAAATGTATACATATGGAAGAACAATGTTGCAGATATATACATGTGCGTTATTCTGGGTCTGTGCCGTGCAGCAGTAACGCAACGGAAGAGAATATTGTGTTCATAAAAATATACAACAACAAAGATGTGCAACGTGCCAGGTCTGACACGAGACCATTTATCCAGATCACTTTCATGTGCATGTCCATTACTTAGAATGCAGTAAATGAGGTTTGTGCCATTTAGCGGAAACGTATCCAAAGCTCGTGAAATGTTCTGCTTTTAATCGATTTCAAAGAACTGTTGAACTATGGCACAGTTAAAATGTGCAGATTTGATTAATTTTGTTTAGCTCACACTACATGTTTTCAATCACCCTTTCTGCTCGGCCAAAACCTTTGCTCGCACTGAAGTTTTTGTCCACTGACAGTTGCAATAAAGTTTATTCACACAAGAGGACAGCATCACCTTGTGAAATATACTTTGAGTGTGAGGAGAAAGACATTATGAACCTGCTGATGGCTGGAAAGATCTGGACAGTACTGCCTGTTGTGCAGCAGAGTTAAGTGTTTGTTTTTATCAGAGCACAGTCTCAGTCAGGGCTACAGCAGCCACATGGGAAATCAAAGTGCGGAACTGCTCAAAGTGCAAGACAGCCGACAAAAATTTCTCACTGGGCCAACCTGTCACATAGCTACTAGATCAGTGATCGTTTTGGCAGTTAATCTGGTGTCGCAGCTCCCTCGAATTGAGTATCAAACAAAAGCTGATCTGGAGCAAATTGGTCAGGGGCAACTAATTCGGGGTTAAAATCAATAGTTTCTGCCATCTTAAGACATGACTGACTGATGATCCGTAATCTGTTTTTCAGCATGTGCAACGAGTTCTCCCAAATATTCCAGCTGTGCCAGTTTGTGATGGTAAGACAAGGTTGACACATCAGACCAAACCGTTCTCAGCATCTGCCTCTGATGTTTATTAAATGCCACAATCATATGTACCACCACCTTCTTCTGTGTAGGAAAACTCCCAGAATGCCCCATTGGTCCATGCCACGCTGGAGACTCTCCTCCGCTTCCTGAATTGGATTCCTTTAGGCTACATCTTTGAAACAAAACTCATCAGCACTCTGGTCTACAAGGTAAACCAGCTGATATTCATTAAGTAAATCAAAACTTTAGGTGATCATCTTTGTCTATCAAATGCTGATAAAAATGTTTGTTTGATGTGGCTCACAAACAAGTAAAAGCACACAAAAAAAACAATCATAAAGTGGAAAATTCATGTACACTGACGGCTGCACACAGAGAGCTGCTCTGACAGAAGTTTTCCCTTGGAAATTCCCAGAGTTTCGCTCCCCATTTGATTACACCTGGTTGCCTCAGCCACTTGGCCAGGGAGCATTCTCACCCACACACACATTACTGCACATGTTTGTATAGCATGGAGCACTGGAAAAAGACAGTTTTTCAGAACATTGAATGCACCAAATATCCACACATCTTTGGAGAACAATTTGATTTAGTCAAAAAAATACAAATACACTCGCCTGTAAATATTTATATTTACATCATCGTGAACTAAATGTCTTTTGGGCCATATTAATGGGTCACCTTTAGCTCTGGGTTCTTTTTTATTCTTAAAATTAATAGATCACGCTATTACATTTGACAAATTGATAATGAAAGTTATCTTTAGTCCCTAATTACCTTTTCACACATCTGTCAGTGAGGCTGTTTTTCCATTTCCAGCTCAACTCGCCTCGACTCCACATGCCTCGATTTTGGCCCGCCATACTCTGTTTTCCATTGCAGATAGTACCCAGAGATAGTACCCCTCAGTGTAGCTGGTCGTCATAGCAATGCCACACGCAACTGCCGCAACACACCAGCGATCCACATACAGCTGTCTCTTGATTTAAGTTAAAACGTTTCAACATTCCTCAGAATGGAAAGACAGATAAGCGGTATGAAAACCTTCCAGCTGTGTTTTCCTCTGCTGTTGTTGCTGCAGCGGTCTGTGTGACGCCGGGAGCAGAGGGCTCTGTGAGCGGGCAGCTGGCCGGCCTCACGCGCTCCTCCTGTTTGGCGCAGGCTTCCCCCGCAGCCACTTCCTCAACTCCGAAAACTTTCAAGCACATTTTTGTTCTGCCATCACTTCTCGTAAAACTGTCAATATTTGAAGTCTACACAGCTGATTTCTCACCTCAAAATTTCTCAGAATTGGATTTAGTGATGAAATGACGTATGAAAACTGTAAAATATAAAACTTTCTGTTGCTGGCCTCTGTCCGGCGCGCAATGATGATGCAGTGAATAGTGACGATTCTCTCTGACCAATCAGCAGTCTGCTGTGTTTTCACGTCACATTTTAGTATCCCTCAGCTCGAACGAAAAAAGTACCTTGTAGCAGGTACAGGTGCAACATTTCCACAATGGAAAACCAAAAAAGTCGAGTCGAGCTGGTACCATGCAGTGGAAAAGGGGCTTTACTTGTGAGCAACTGTCATTTTTTATTTTTTTATTTTTTATTGCAATCAGGGCTGGAAATCTGTGGGTTGGCAGGTGTAAACGCTGAATTGTAAAACTGCCGTTTTCATAGGGACACGAGTACCCGTACGTACTTAACTGAGAATACCAGCAGTGCATCGTTGACCTGACTTGTCTTATTTGTGTATTTCAGTTCTTGAACGTGCCCATGTTCCGCAATGTGACGCTGAAATGTTTGACGGAGATTGCCGGAGTAAGCGTCAACCAGTACGAGGAGCAGTTCGTTAACCTGTTTACCCTCACTATGAGCCAGCTCAAACAGGTACACACACACAATCATTTTGAGTGGTGCTTAAGTGAATTGCTCTCAGTATGATTACACACTTACATGTGCCCACTCTGTTATTACACACACAAATGCCAACCTCCTCCTGCCTCACAATTTCCTACCACCTATAAACACACTACATTGTCAGGCAGTATAAGCAGTTCTCTGCTTGTTCATAGACAAAAACAACACATCTGTGGGCAGAGTGATGGGACAGCACAGCTGAAAGCCACGGGGGGGAATTCCAAAAACACAGAGTGAACACAAGTGGATCACTTGGGGAATAGTTTGTTAGTGTTTTGTTTTTGAATTTTGTGTATTCGTTTTTGTTAGTATTGCTAGTTCTGTTAATCAAATTGAAAAGTCCTTTGACCTTCCTCACCTTACTGTTTATACAGAATTAGCTGACACAGGTGTGATTGCTAACGCCCTCGACACACCTAATAGAGAGTAGTCAAGATGTCAAGGCAACACAATGAAAGACTTTAGACTGTAGAAGTCTGTAGCTTTAACTAATGTTTAATAACATCCGAATACTCATACAAACAGAATATATCATTTGATGCCCATGGAATTTTGTTCAGGGAGACAACAAGTAGAGCAAGTTCTGCAGTTTCAAAATAAAGCAGCAACAAAAGCGAAAATTCAGGTTCTTTCATTATGGATCAGGTATCAGTCGGCACAAATTGTTTAAATATGACTCATCAAACATTTGAACTATCTGGAAGGCTTGAATTTAATAATGTATCACTTTCTCTTTAAGGAAACAAATCATAGTGTTCATCCACTCACCATGGTCTCAGTGTATTCTAATCTAATTCTAATCTGGTGGATGTAAACTGCTTATTAAGGCAGAATGTTATCTCTAAGTCATAATATCTGGAGCCATAGTTCCCAATACTTTTTGATTAGTGAAACCATAAGCTGTTTAGTTCACTTGCAGATGTCTGAGCTCTGAATGGGAAACCAAAGATTTTCTCCTTTACACTTTCTGAGACTGTTGAATTAAATTTGAATAGTTTTTAGTGACCAGAAAAGGTCAATTTAAACAGTATTTCCCAAGAAATATAAAATAAAGTTGAATAGAATAACCTGTGTATTAACAGAGTGTTGATAAATCTATACACGCTATAAAGGATTATCACTTTGAATTTAAATTTTGCAATTTGTTTCTTGAAAGTTTATTCTTGACTTTGGAAATTGTATTTTAATACCAAAGTATTGTACTTCTTCTCATGGCCTTCCTCACCACATGTGTGCAGGGTTGCTTTGTTAGTTTTAGGTCTAGTTGTAGATGAAGTGGTGGGTGGTCTCACGGCTCACTGGTTGAAGACTAAAGCTATTTACAGTGAGTGTAATGTCCTCAAACAAAACACGCTATGGATGCAAAACAATTAAGACAAAATAAAGGTTGTGTATAAATAAATAAAGGTGAGTTTAGTGAAGTAATGTTTTGTTGTCTGGTCAGATGCTGCCTTTGAACACTAACATCAGAATGGCCTACGCCAACGGTAAGGACGACGAGCAGAACTTCATCCAGAACCTCAGCCTGTTCCTCTGCACCTTCCTCAAAGAACACGGCCAGCTCGTCGAGAAGAGACCCAACCTGCGAGAGACGCTCATGGAGGTTAGGAGGATGAGACGAAGCCCTTTCTGTTAAACCAGAAAAGGGTGGTTCATTACAGAAAGAATTTTCACTGTTTCTCATGTGGAAAGGTGAACTTGAATGATTGTTGGGGTCTGGTCGAGTAAGCAAACCTACAACTCTCAGCTGGGGGCTTTTATTCATTTCCGTCTCTGCTTTAGGGCTGTTAGAAAAAAATCCCCCTTTCCTGCGGCACTTTGTCCACTTGTTATGAGTCCTCTTTCAGGAGGAGATGTTGACAACAAAAGACTCTGTGCAGCAGGCTGTTCACCAAAAGACTGTTCAGTTGGTGTTTTGGTGTAGCTGGATAGAAAGAGGGATCTAATAATCTCAGATGGCAAGTTGCTAAAGAACCCGCTATAAATGAGTATGGAGACTAAACTGTATTAAAGAAGACATTTTTAAATGATAATCATGAATGAATAAAATAAATATAATTTAAGAAAAACTGGTCTGAGCCAACCAATCACAATTGACCCTTCACTAAGCCCCCTCATAGTTACTGTGGCTAAGTCTACTTTTATCACGGCACTGCAACGGTCTATCACTGAACACCCTGGATACATGTCTAAATTTTGGGAAAAGCGATTTCAGAAAGAAGCAGACAGTTGCATTGTGCATTTGAAGATTTTATTCAGGCTGTCAAACTGACGCAGAAAAGACAAAAGCTAAAGCCTATTGAGTAAAAGTGAACCACCATATTACCTGACTTTTACGATATTAAGGATCGACACTGCTCCTCCTGTACAGCTGCGTAGGTCTATATTCACTATTACAATCATTAAAAAGCAGAACCGTAGGAAGTTCGATGTGTTAGCTAACTAACGTTACATTAGGAACAATCCACAGCCGACATTTTTCTGGATTAATTTTAGGTTTTGGAAAGAGAATAAATTGTACTTCCCCTTTCAATCTCTCGGGGTAGCAACTGTAATAATTACAAGTGCCCTAGGAACAGCGTTTGCCCATATCTTTGACAAATACAGCAAAAAAAGCTAGAAAACGACTCCTTTTGCACTAGAGTCAATGAAGTGCAGCCATGAAAGTGTCGGACCTCAGTTAGTCCTATACTGCGCTGTGATTGGCCAGCTGCGTATTTGGGGCGTGGCTTAGCAAAGGGTCATTTATGGATGTCTGCTTAAGCAACCACCTTTTGGAAAACGCTCTTGTGTATTATATTATAGTAGTAAACCCTATGGTTCTCTATTGGATTGGTAAATAAGAAATCGGAGACAATAAACTCCATACATAATACTCTTAAAAACTGAACCAAAATATTACTTTTTCTAAATTTATGTTGTGCAATGACAGAACCTGGTAGTAAGTAAAAGTAAAGCCAAGCTTCTCTCTTGTAATCATGTGTGTAACCCAGATATTTATTATTGGTGTGAAAATTGTTTTATCACATCAAGCAAGGTGTCAAAGCGACAGTGGGAGAAATAAAGAACCCGACAAACATTTGTGATTTGTTGTACTGTCAAATGATCCAAATGGAAACATTTAGCGGTAACGTAACGTGTGCTGCAGCCTTAAGCTATATACTTTTAGCACTGTCATGTGACCTCACCACACTTTGCTCCGCCCCCAGGCCCTGCACTACATGCTGCTGGTGTCAGAGGTGGAGGAGACCGAGATCTTTAAGATTTGTCTGGAGTACTGGAACCACTTGGCGGCAGAGCTTTACAGAGAGAGTCCCTTCTCCACCGCTAGCACCCCGCTGCTGTCAGACGTCCCACCTCGCAGACACCTGTACCTGCCTGTACTCTCCCAGGTAGGGCCCGTCACCCAACACCAGGGTGGGACAGACTAATTTATTTATTTATGTATTTTTTTTACAAAAGCTTCTATTGAGGTTTTCGAATGAAGCTTCAAATGTTGTCAGAATTCATGTCATTTAGTTTATAAAATGATAAGAAAATGCTCTGATGCCATAATCTGATTTCATATTTTGTCCAACCAAGAGTCCAAAACCCAAAGATATTAAATTTACTGATATATGGGAGAAAAAAAGCAAAACATACTCTAATTTTAGAAGCTGGAACCAGAGAAAATTTGATAGACATCAAACTGTTTCCCATTATTAATAATAAAAATAATAATTTACCATTGTTTTTCTGTCAAAAGACTAATCATCAATCAGTCATTTCAGCTCTAAATGTAAAACCAGTTGTGGATTAATGGAGTTAGACTTGACTTGTGACTAAGTGTATTCTTGAAATATGAAACTAAACAACACGTGATGTTTTTCCACTGTGGATCTACAGCTGCACAATAATGACCCAAATGCAAAACGTGATTATTTTGATCAGTATTAAAATTATGAATTTCTTTTTTTCCTTTTTTGTCTTTCTCAACAAAATACATTTATTGCATGCCAACATAATTTGCCATCAATTAATTGCATGCTTCAAATTAGGAGGAGAACTCACATCCAGTTTATCCCCCGTCCTCCTGCTGCTTATAGGTGCGTTTGCTGATGGTGAGCCGCATGGCCAAACCTGAGGAGGTGCTGGTGGTGGAGAACGACCAGGGGGAGGTGGTCAGGGAGTTCATGAAGGACACGGATGCCATTAACCTTTACAAGAACATGAGAGAGACTCTTGGTAGGTTAATACATATCTGTGGTGATTAAATGCATAGTTCTGTTTCAGATACACAAATAAGAAATTGTCAGTAGCCTAATTCAAAGTTCTGTGAAATCATTGTGTTTTTATTTTTTGGTCTCCAGATAGTCTAAGTTTTTGTTTGAATACATAGCTATTCATTATTATTGTTGGTATTCCAATTTTCCTAACGGTCTGTTCCTTCAGTAACATGGTTGAGGTATTTTTATTGTAAATCTGGTAAATTTGAATTTACCATTTAACCCATTTAAATTGGGAGCTGTACACCTCCTATTTACCAGACTGTTGTGGTATTAAAATGTTTCACACCTTCTCCACTATCATTTCCTTAAACTGTATCAGATGCAAACTGTCATCACTGAGTCAGAGGAACGATTATATCATGTCAACAAACAGAACAAGTAACCTCACACACACCATGGACTCACCTGACTCTGTGTGTGTCTGCAGTGTATCTGACCCATCTGGACTACGCCGACACTGAACGCATCATGACGGAGAAGCTCCACAACCAGGTGAACGGCACCGAGTGGTCGTGGAGGAACCTGAACATGCTCTGCTGGGCCATCGGCTCAATCAGCGGGGCGATGCACGAGGAAGACGAGAAGAGGTTCCTGGTCACCGTCATCAAGGTGGGGACACAGAGGATATTATATCAGTGTAAACGTCCCTTAGTTAGTCCAACTATAGGCAGTTTTGTGTGTTAAACTGTGACCAACATGAACTGATTGTGTGTGTTATGTGCTCAGGACCTGCTCGGCTTGTGTGAGCAGAAACGAGGGAAGGACAACAAGGCCATCATAGCCTCCAACATCATGTACATTGTGGGCCAGTATCCTCGCTTCCTTCGAGCCCACTGGAAGTTCCTCAAGACTGTCGTCAACAAGCTGTTTGAGTTCATGCACGGTGAGAAAAGAGAAATGACCAAATCCCCCCACACTGATCAGATTTAAATCCTTTTGCATAAATCTTTCTTCAAGTCTTTGAATTTAGCGCCCTGTAATTTAATGTGACTGTAATTCACCTGTGTCATAAATAAGAACAGCAGTACACATGCATTTGTTAATGATTATGTTACTTGTGAACAAAAAGTCGACAACTTTGACAACACAAGACACAGCATTACTGACCAGTCCAACAGGAAGAAGGTCAGCTCAGCGTCTGTCCTGCAGCCTTTTATTTCACAAAGCTCTCACCAACGTCAGACAGCCTCTTGCTCGTTTACTTTCTTTGGACTCGTCTCCTCTGCCATTAGCTAATGTTATGTCCATAGAGGCCGCTAACCTTAGTTATGTTGCCTGCTCATCCTCCACCACTTGATAGAAAAGTTACATAATGTTGCTTGAAACTTGGGGGGCAAGCTAGCCCACAAAGCTAGACAGCAACCAATGCAAGAGCACTTACAGTAATGGTCCCTATTTTCGAGTGTGTTATCTAATAAGTTATTACTTACAGATCTGCCAGTCTGATATTTACTCTTGTCCGGTTTCTTGCTCTGTCACTCTTTTTTTCTTTTACTTGTATCCTCCGATGTCGTCGTCGGCTTCAGTCTCTTTGCAGCCTCTGCTATGCTATCTGTACTGGGAATACAGAGCGAGCTGTTATTTTAAAATTACTACATAATGTTGCTTTAATTCATAAATCTACGTATGGTTACAAACTGTGACGTGTGATTCTAACTTAAAGAGCCAAAAAAGTCATAACACAATTTTCCCCTGAAGGTGCCACTGCTACTTGATCGGTTATTCACGCATGAATCCTGTCTGTCAGTAAATGAGGCTTATCATGATTTCGTGTGGTTTATCCTTTGCTTGGTCACACAGAGACCCATGACGGTGTGCAGGATATGGCGTGTGACACCTTCATCAAGATCGCCCAGAAGTGCCGGCGTCATTTTGTCCAGGTTCAGGTGGGAGAGGTGATGCCCTTCATCGATGAGATCCTCAACAACATTAACACCATCATCTGTGACCTGCAGCCACAGCAGGTTAGTCCTGTCTCTGATATCCTGCTTTTTTATGCTGTTATTTGTTAGACTTTTTTCGGATAACTTAAACCTCTCATCTTGTTAGCTCTGTCTGAAGGTTTGAGTCTGCCCCTCGTATCTGCAGGTTCATACGTTTTATGAGGCTGTTGGCTATATGATTGGAGCTCAGACAGACCAGGCAGTTCAGGAGCTTCTGATAGAGAAGTACATGCTGCTGCCTAACCAGGTGTGGGACAGCATCATCCAGCAGGCCACCAAGGTGAGGACAGATGGATTTTAATATGCTGATGTTTCCTTAGTGCCCTCAAACATTCTCATCTAATGCAGCCTATTGACTTATTGACTGATTAAAATGGCTAGTTATGCTTAATTGTGGACTCTGCTTCAGAACGTGGACATCCTGAAGGACGCTGAGACGGTGCGTCAGCTGGGCAGCATCCTAAAGACAAACGTCAGAGCCTGTAAAGCTGTTGGTCATCCCTTTGTTTCCCAGCTGGGACGAATCTACCTGGACATGCTCAACGTCTACAAGTGCCTGAGCGAAAACATCTCCTCGGCTGTTCAAACCAACGGTTAGTTCCCGTTTTCTCTGTGGGTGTGTTTTCTAGGTGACCGGTAGTAAAGCATGATTTATGAGGCTCTTCTTGGGTCTAACAGGAGCGGAAAACAAAGCATGTGTGAATGATTCACAGAAAAGGTTTCTAATTAATCCAACTCCCTGCTTTTGTGAGGATATTTAAGAGCAGGGCTCTTGCCAGCTCACGACACAAAATATATGTGGTAGTATAGTAGAAATATGTCGTCATACGCCAGCCGTGAGGAAAATGGCCTTACAAAATAATGTGCATGCTCTTAATAAATGGTGATTTACACAGATATTCTATCATTAACCAGTACCTTCACAATGTGTCAATCGCAATTTTTTCAACAAAAGAATTCAGCGCGACTTCCAATTTTGACCAATCATGGCATCTTTTCCACAAATTTGACCTATCATCGCCGTTTCCGGCAAAACATTGTCATACACCAGCTTGTCACTAACTTGATTACTAGTCGCTAGTGATTAACACTATTCATACTTCTATCATTTAAGACGCTAGTTTGTTCCTCTTGCCTGCATCAATAGTGCCATTAGGTGTAGCCAAATAAAATAAAAAAAATGCTTGCACATGGATGTGTTAACATGAATTTAATACATGGACAGCTCTGTAATCCCACCATACACTTTCTGCTCAGCAGCAGACAGACACAGATGGAGACTAGCTGGTGAACATAGTGGAACATTTAGCAGCTAAAGAGCAACACATTTCCCTCAGGAATTGGTGGAGTCCATTAAATATTGCACCAAACATGACAAATGCAAATGTTGCTCTGTAACCACTGGTTGTAATCATCACTTAAAAGGTGATGATGTGCTATCAATGCAGAGTTCACTACTTGTTTCCGTTGCACCTAAATGGTAAGGTTTAATGACTGTCTTCTATGATTTATACAGGTGAGATGGTGACCAAACAGCCTCTGATCAGGAGTATGAGGACTGTAAAGAGGGAGACATTGAAGCTGATCTCAGGCTGGGTCAGTCGCTCCAACGACCCTCAGATGGTGAGCCGATTTAAAAAAAAAAAAAAAGTTTGTTTTTTTCAGTCAATTCTGTAAGAATAAGAAGAAAGTTTTCAAATGTGTGTTTATATTTAAATACGTGTTCAAGATCACTTTTATTTTTAGCAGTTTTCCATACCATAAGTATCCTCTGCATTTAATTCAGCAGTGGTGCAACAACACAGCGAAAACATAACAAATGCTGGCACAGCAAATGGGAAAACTGTCCCCCAAAATGGTCACGCTTATAATTAAAAACCAAAATGTAATGTTACTTTAAAAAAACTTTAATACTTTTAAACAAGGGTTTAAGCAAGGTTTTAACTAGACTAAATCCTGTTTAAGTCAAATATCTGCTAATTATTTTACACCATCTACTGTGGGGTTTCTTTGGGTTCCATGTCTGATCAAGAGTAGTTAATGGTGCAGGCATGTCAATTGGGATGATGGATCTGTCAATGTATTGGTATGTTCTGTGGTCCAGGTGGGAGAGAACTTTGTGCCCCCCCTGCTGGAGGCGGTGCTCATCGACTACCAGAGGAACGTCCCGGCCGCCAGAGAGCCCGAGGTCCTCAGCACCATGGCGACGATTGTCAACAAGCTGGGAGTCCACATCACGGGAGAAATCCCCAAGATCTTTGACGCTGTCTTTGAGTGCACTTTGAACATGATCAACAAGGTGGGTTTGCGTTACTAAATCTCACCTGGTAGCAGCGGTAACTCTACAGTTACACACTTTAACTCCTTGTTGTTTTCCTCCCGTGCCATCAGGACTTTGAAGAATTCCCAGAACACAGAACCCATTTCTTCTACCTCCTTCAAGCTGCCACCTCCCAGTGCTTCCCAGCCTTCCTGTCCATCGCCCCTGCCCAGTTCAAACTGATCCTAGACTCCATCATCTGGGCATTCAAGCATACGATGAGGAATGTGGCCGACACAGGTCTGAACTGGCGTCGACTTGTCCTGTCAGATAGAGTTCACAAAAATAAAGGGTCATTGAAAGTCATTTTGATGTCTTTTAAATGTAAATTATTCCTTATCTGATGGTAAAAGGAGACACTTAAGGTTATAGTTAGTTCAAAAACATTTTCCTGCTGTCTACAAACAGAAGGCTAACTCTTTAGATTATAACACTGATATTGAATAGGAATTATATCATGGACAACTGATTCAGGTTAGGTTAATGGATCAGAGCGGTGCAGAAGTTTAGAAGCAGCAACTGTTTTGATATCTGCTGGTCTAATGATGGTCTCCTGCAGGTCTTCAGATCCTGTACACTCTCCTGCAGAACGTTTCTGGAGAGGAGGCAGCAGCACAGAGCTTCTACCAGACGTACTTCTGTGACGTCCTGCAGCACATTTTCTCTGTGGTCACTGATACCTCTCACACTGCAGGTAAGGAGACGTGATGTGTGAAGATGCATTCCAACCTTTAAGGGGCAAAGTCTATTAAACATACTTTATGTTCATGTGACACAAACTGACGAAGCCGTCTGCTTGCTTCCTGTCTGCAGGTCTGACCATGCACGCCACCATCTTGGCCTACATGTTCAACCTGGTGGAGGAGGGGAAGGTCAGTGTTGCTCTGAGTGCCGCCAGTCCTGCCAACAACCAGGCGCACGTCCAGGAGTACATCGCCAACCTGCTGAAGACGGCTTTCCCCCATCTGCAAGAGTAAGTAGGCTTCAGCCTCACCAGGTGAACCACAGTGGGATTACAGGAGCTGTGTTTTTTTTTTTTTTTTTTTTTTTTTTGTGGAAGTGGTTTTACACAAGCACATGGGGATTAAAGGAACAGCCGCAGTTAGATTGCACTTACGTCATAAAACACATTTTGAGTGAAGGCTGCAGCTGCCATCAGACACATCCCGAGTGCTCGACTTTATAGTCCTAAAATCTGGACGCGAGTCTGTATGATTGAACTAAAACACTTTGATTTATTCAGAAAATATTATGTTCCACAAAATAAATTACACTTGTTAATATGGCACTCTTAAGTTTTGAGGCTTTGTTGTGCTTTATGGATTAACGTTATGTATGCTAAACTGTGTGGTTCAAGAATTGTATTCTGCTGCATGTATTGTCTGGTTCAGAACTGCAGATGCACAGACTTTTGACTGAAAGTAAGAAGTTGTCACTCCATATTTGGGAGTTGTAAAAAAGCATTCAGGGGAATGCCTACATTAAATAGTAGTAGATTAGATGAGAGTTAATAATTAGGTCATATTTGTTGTGGGGCTATAACAGATCTTTTTTTTTTTTTTTTTCAATTTGTCCAGACGTACAGCTTATTAAATGTCTTTGTCTTCAGTGCCCAGGTGAAGGTGTTTGTAACGGGTCTGTTCAGCCTAAATCAGGACATCCCCGCCTTCAAGGAGCACCTGAGGGACTTCCTCGTGCAGATCAAGGTGAGGAAATGGTTAATAAACTGCACCTGAAAATAGACATGGGGAGATGATATCAGTGAAATTAACACCGTTGCATCATGATTATTTTTCACACAAGTTATTGATAAAGGAGATGAGTCAAAGTAGGATTCATATTGTTTTTGGATGATTTATATCTGCAGTTCTCAACCGCATGTCATCCAGAAACGAGAGTCTGCTGCCTCTCATTCACAGAGAAGCCGTTAGAGAATGCGACAATCTTCAACAAAAAGTCTTACTTTGTACTATACACTACTTTATGTTTACACAGGACTTTATTTTACATTGGTGGTGGCTTGTTGTCCAAGCCTGATAAAGCTCATTCAAGGTGAAACTTGTGCTTTGGCTTGGAAAATGTGCAGCCTAATGTGATTTTTAGTCGACACAGAAATCCCTCTCTGATTTCCAAACACTGCAGCAGCTAATTTCACTTTTACTTGGAGCCAGACAATTTAGACAATATATGAAAGGGAGTACAACTTATTATCTGTAAATATAACTTTGAATGCACTGCATTAAGCAGATTGATAAATCAAAAGGCCCATCAAAGCAAAAAGGTGATCATCGGGCAAAACAAAATAATCTCGACTGAGCCTCTGTTAAAATGTAAACAATGATTCTGGGCTTGGGTTAACAAAGTCGGATAGTACGATGCTTGATTTAACAAAAGTGGCAACTCTTTGGCTTTATTAGACAATTATATAAGCTCAGGGACATTGTGACTTGTTCCTGTTGGTAAATCAACAAAGACATCACAAAGTAATCTGGTTGGAAGTATTTGAAAGCCTCAACCTGCGTCAAACTGAGATTATTTTAACTTTTGAGTGGAGGGACTTTGTGGAAAGTTTGAGGGAGCACAGGTCTCAGTCTGTGGGAAACTGGCACTTGAATCTTGAATCAAAAGCCTTAAGCCTGGTGTGAGCGCCGCTGAGCCTCTGCTTGTGTGGTCCTGCAGGAGTTTGCTGGCGAGGACACGACGGACCTGTTCCTGGAGGAGAGGGAGACGTCCCTGCGCCAAGCTCAGGAGGAGAAACACAAGCTCCAGATGTCAGTGCCCGGCATTCTCAACCCTCACGAGCTTCCAGAGGAGATGTGCGACTGAAGGTGGCAGCGAACAGCGTGTACAAAACAGCTCTGAAGAGGGAAAGGTCAAGAGAGAGCAAGGACGATTCCTGTTGATGAATTGTTTTCTTTTCAAGTGTGTTCGTGTGCGAGTGTGTGCGTGTTTTGAAAAGAGAATGAGGGGCCAGAGAGCGGACCCCAGCACTCGGTTGTACGTCGACCAAATCAATGTCAATATGTAAATGAGAATCGTCCCCCTCAACCCTGGCGCAGATTCTTTTTTTTTTTTTTTTCTACAAACTTATTTTATACAAAGTTTTTGTGTGTGTGTGTGTAAAACGCCATGTTTTGTTAATTTTTGCTGATTAAAGCTTTGTGTTTGACCATACGGTTCTTTTACACTTGCATGAAGAATTCAAGGTTATTTTTAATCCCTCTTGACCCCCTTGATTCACCTCCTCTCCTACTTGTTAATATGTAATATATAATGTTGAGACACTTGCAATGGTTAGTTGACGGATTGCTCTTGTTTCAGAAGTGCCATGTGCATGGTGCAGGATGAATGTGATGCTCAAGGGGTAGACACTTACTTCCTTGCTTCATTTGTTGTTTTGGTTTGTCAGTGTGTTTGTTTGTTTTTTTCTTTTACTCTGGCTCCTCTGAGTCCGAGCTTCAGTTGGACCGCTCTGCGTTTGGATGAGAAGGAAGGCTGTGTGCATATCATCCTGTTTGTAAAGCTGTCTTAGTACTCTGACAATATAAAGTTGGCTATTTTTACAAAATGAATGTCTGTGACTCTGCTTCTTACCCAAAGCACTGAAGGTTATGGAAAGCCTGGAATAGATGAGGAATGTCACAGCCTAGGCTTCCAGGATCTGAAGGGTTATAGCAAATGACATAATCCAAAAGGAAATTGTTTTGCTTTTTTCATTTGACAGTGACGTAGTTACCATTTTTGAGGAAATGGTCACCAAGCTGATCAGAGTGGTGTGAACTGAAGTTGCGTATATGTACATAAAATTATTATATGAAAGTACAGTGTTCTGCAGACAGTGGCAACAAGGTATTCATTGCTTTTGTAAGTAATATTCTGCTCAGTCAAGCTACACTTGTTTCATATGTGTGTACCTCCCTTAACTTCAAGGTACCTTTTATTTTAGAAGTTATTTAACATTTTTAATACTCCCTTTTATATTGTTTCACACTGGAGGACTCTGCAAAACAGCTTTTTATTTGTGTCTGTGTCCTGTACATGTGGCAGAATTGACAATAAAGTTGGCTTAAAGAAACACTGAGTTGTCACATTAAACGAAGTAGCAGGCATGTTGGCACGTTTACACCAGGTTTGGTTGCAGGGAGAGGAACTTATTTTGGCAAGTTTAGGTTTCTAGTCTACATTGTAGGTCCTGAGCAATTTATGACACAAGGGGTCTGATTAATCACCTGTCTCTGTGATCTAACAGGCTGGGTCAGAAAATAATGATATGGACAATGAGGGATCTATAACTGATCAGAAAGTAAGTAAGATTTATTACATTGCAAAATATTTTCTTTTTCCTCCCTCTTTAACCTCTCAGCCCAACACTGTACAGGTAAAACAAACATTAAAGAAAACCTACATAGTCTGCATTACATTATTATCTACATGTCAGGGATTCACGTTATTAAATTATATGTAAATCAGATATACATCTGATTTTTATACTTTAACTGAAGAATGACTTGGAATTAAAGGAAAATATAAAGCAGAGGAAATGTAGATACAAACTTAAAACACAATACAACAAACATTTAATGTATAATTTTGTTAAATTAAAAAAATGTGTTGAACATTTTAATTTTTAGTATTAACATAATTTTTTAGTATTTTAAACTTAGATATATGTTATTTTCACCGCAGTTGTCCTTGAGATCGTTGGGAAGATATCGCGAGACTACCGAAGAAAAACGAAAGAGGCGAAGGAGACAGGACGGAAAGTCCCGAACCATCTACACTGTGTGTCGCCCCCCCTTCACCCCTCCTTTTCCAACATGGCTGCTGTGTCTGTTCTCTCAAGTAACGCTCAGATTGGAGACTGACTCGATTTCAACCTTCCAGTGCCTCTTAACTTTTGGTGTAGATCAACTTTCCTTGGATGCAAATCACGTTCTACACCTTTTTGTCTCCCCTGGTTTCATTTAGTGGAATAACCTTCACCAATCACTCCCTCCACTGGGCCTTTTTTCACCCCAAAAACATCCAACTGCCTGCCAACAACAGTTTCCAGTGCAATGGTTTGAGTAGGTGCACTCAGTTTTCCTCTTCATGAACAATGTGTGAAAACTGCGCCGAGCTGGTGGAGGTTTTAAATGAAAGTAAGTGAACAAATTATTTTATTTACGTCAGACGATGCTAAACTAGCTGCTTGATGTTAGCATCGCTGTCCACTTGAAGCTTGATGGGAGCGTGTTAGCTAGGTGGCTAGCTAAATATAACTTTGTGTGTTTTCTTCATTAGCTCGCCTTTTCATCCAGACTTTGCTGCTATAAGATGGTGGAAGTAGTGACATTGTGGCGGTGTGTCGAACAGTCGGTGACAGATGTGTCCAAGTGTCAGATTGTGGGTTTGATATGAATGCAAATGCCATTTTCCCTTCTTCAAAATTGGCAGGTTTTTTGGGCCTGTCTGTCAAACACTCCACAGAAACTCAGCAAGCTAGCTCAATAAATCGACTTAAAAATCGTAAAACCTCGATCAGTTTTGTATGTGACATTACGGGCATGACTTGAAATACTTCAGCAGTGTTGAACGCGATGCACAGGAGAGATTTTGAAGGATGCTGGTGTTTAATTTGACGCGGCTTGCGCGGATCTTTTGGAAGTTAACGTTAGCTAAGTTAGCTAGCGAGCAGGCTGACTTTGTTTGATGTGTTTGTCAGGTCAGTCTGCTAGCTGTCCACTAACGTTACGGCTGCCACCCATTGTTTTGCCGATGGTCACATTCACAGTTCAAAATGGCCTGCTAACTGTCAACAACACGCTCACGGTTAATATTGCTGACACTAAAGTAGACGCTGTAAATTTCACATGTTTTTTATTTGGCGAGTCTGTAAAATGTTAACCTAGTCTAAGCTAGCGGCAACAAAGCTAGCATAGAAAATTAATGGCTGCAACGAGGCGCATATATTTTGGCACATCGTTAACGTTAATCCTCGGGTGGCTATTGGATCGTTTTTGGCTGATGTCTTATGCACACTAGCCTTAACGCCATTCCTTGCTCGTTTTTGGTGGTAACATTAATTATGATCCTGCCATGAAGTCTCATGTCACCTACGGGGCTAAAGTCAAGTTAATACAAGGTTGCCTTTATGGCTAAGAAGTTAGCCGTTAGTCCAGGAGTGCTAACCAGGCCTTGTGGCACTTCAGGGGTGTCTGTTAGATATTGTAGTTTAACATTTATTTTTAAAACCGTTTTTTATTCAGTGATTGACGGTTTATTACTCGTGTGTCATGAGTGTGTGGGGTGGACGCTCCTCTTGCAGGCTCTGTAGGAATCCACCTTAAAAGACAATCCTGCACCTGACTGTAACATGGGCTCACTAAAGGGTATCAAACATTTAAGCTGATTCTTTTTGACAAGCTCACATGCTGTCAATTATAGGATAAACACATTGGGAGTTTGTGTGTGTATATAAATATTAAAGTCAAAATGTGAATTGTGGGCACCTGTTTTATTTTTTATGTGGACACCCAAACATTACAGACAGATGTGATAGCTGAACATGTTATTTAAAAACCACGGGCATTATTCTTCTGCCCAAACAGCCCCTTTTCTCCTGAGACTTTCCACAAGATGTTTGAACTTGGCTGCAGGGATTTGCTCCCATTCAGTCTCGAGAGCATTATAACCCTTTCATACAGGAGATGCATGCATGACATGGGTCTACTGACATGCGCTGGACCTTTTCATATGCCGCCGCAGTCAGATCCATATGGTCGTCATTGTCAACGACACAGAATTACGTTAGATTATAACCTAAGCGAGGCCTGGCTTGCATTTGCCGTTTCAGTTCATCCCAAAGGTGTAGAGGTCAGGACCTCTATGAAAGCCAGTCACGTTCCTCCACACCAAAGTGGAGAGACCGTTTCTTTATGGACCTGGCTTTGTGCACGGGGACATTGTGATGGTGAGAGAGGAAAGGGCAGAACATAAACTATTGCTACAAAGTTGGGGCACGCTATTGTGTGAAATATCATTGTATGCTGTAATGTTAAGATTTCCAATGAAGGACCTACACCCAATTATGGAAAAACAACCCCAGAACAGACATCCACCTTCCTTTGGCCATATTCTGTGTTTTGGATGAACAGTTGATTGGCCTTATGAAGATTACACTTTAGGAGTGCCTTCCAGTGTTTTTGTCAAAGCTGAATTGCGTGCCGGAGTTAACTCCAATTCTGTGATTACCGAGGTTGGTCAGTTGTGGTTTATCGAAATGTTCCACCCTCTGTTGTTCAAGGTTTGGCTGCCAGATCTGTCACCGAGCTGTTAATTTGAAAGTATGCCATACAGGTTCAGATTCACCGTGGGAATTGTACAGTGGATAAAACACATGCCTTTGGTGTGGGAGACCAGGGTTCGATTCCCACTGCGATACATCCAGCACAACACTTGACCCCTAGTTGCTCTAGAGTCGTGCGACATCTGACACATACAGCGATTGTAAGTCGCTTTGGATCAAAGTGTTAGCTAAAAGAATGTAATATAATGGCTTTCTACAGACCTGGACAGTCTGCAGAGGGGAAAAACATATTACAGAGACCAAACATATACAGTGTTTATTATGATATGCGTGTGTGTGAAGTATGTGTAAAATTTTGGTGAGGTTGGCTAGTTTCATGGGCATCATATAACATGAGTTGCTTGGTGATAGGAAGCCAAACAGAAGCATTCATATCCACATACATTCTTTAGTACACCGGAGGTCAATCTGTTGAAAATTGTAGTAGACTGGGTGATAAACTGAATTGCTATATTGTTATGTCAGATAAACAACCTTTGTGATGTCACATCAAGTTGCATCTGAGAATGTTTAATGCCAGCGGCAATACACTGCCTGACTTTGAGAAGATGTGTTTTTGTCCTACAAAACCTATTGGAATCCAAAGTTATCAAATGTTAAATGTTGTCTTAACACAAGGAGCCATACACACACTTTGACTAAGTAAAATACAGTCTAAAACAGGAACTGTGGTAAAGAGTAAAAATCATTCATTACTAGCTTTTAGTACTCAACAGTGACAACAGCGGCTTCATTCTGACTCAAATCCCATGACAGAAAATCTGCTTCTGATGTGCCTTTTCACCAGTTCATGAGAGGCCAACTTCAGTGATACAAACTGGTGTTGTGGAGGGTTGGGATGGGGGCTTCATAGCAGGGCGCTGTCAGCTGTGACAGCTCTGTCTACAAGACTGGCAGGTCCATGTGTTGTGTCTGCAGGCGACCTGTGACCTCAGATTTGCTGCAGCAGCATGTGTTTGTGTGTGTATGTAAGACATAATCCCTTGTTACAACAAGGCGCTGTGTTCAACTGGTGTTTCTTAACGCAGGGCCGATCCACAGGGTTTCCAAAAGTGCGAGTTTTAGCTGCTTTCCTGTTTTGTGTGTGTGAATTGAATATCTTTGAGTTTGGATCATTTGTTATACAAAACAAACTAATTAAAGTTGTCACCTTGGGCTCTGGGAAATTGGGATGGACATTTTCTAATTTTATTGACGATTGAGGGTTTAATGGGTAATGA